TGTTCCAGCGGGCAGGACTGGCCTAGGGGTATTTTAAATTGGTTTTAGCCAAATTTTAGTAGTAGCGGCCGATTATATATTTATTTTTAATGATTTTTAAAATTTCTATTGTATTGTATTAAATTGTTTTTAACTGGCTGTAAGCCGCCCTGAGTCCTACGGGAGAAGGGCGGGGTATAAATTTAATAAAATGAAAAAATGAAAATGAATGGAGATTCTCGGTCATCCAGGTCATAGTTGTCCCAAAGATGCTTCTTCACAAGGCAACTGGACTTCCTTGTTTTTATTTTGAAAACGTTTTGCTTCTCATTCAAGAAGCTTCTTTAGCTCTGCCTGGATGTGGGGAATGGAAGGATTTATACTCCTTGCAGATAGATGGTTATTTGCATTCTTTTAGAGAGCTGTTGAGGCCACCTGGAGGTTTATCTGTGTCGTCAGGGTCACCTGAGTAGTGCAAATGGGTGTGGAACCTTCTTGGAACTGTTGAAAGGATTGTGTTGTAGACTGGAGATAGATGATGTCATATCCCTCCCCCTCTGTTGAGAGAAGAATGTTCAGTTTTGACATAGATGGCCTCATTGACCCCCTCTTTCAAACCAATAATAGTAAAGGATGTCTAGCCACGCAGCAAGGGATCATGAGATTTGGCAGAACTGAAGGATCCAGAAGAAATCTCCCTTGCCCATCTCTATTTCCTCTTTCTGCTCCTTGCTAGGTTGCCCATGCTAAGATCCAAGGTGTGGAGTCCAACTTGGAAGCGGCCTTGAGAAGGGAAAACCAGATGATGACTTTAATCCAGTCCCTGGAAGAGGAAAAGGCTCTGTATCAGAAGACCCTGGAGAAGATCTGCAGCTACCTGCCCCAGGAAGCCCTGTCCGACTGTGAAGAGCTGCTGAAAAAAGTCAACTGTCATCCAAACAAATTCTAGAAGAAAGCCATAAACGAGGGGGAGGAGGAGGAGGAGGGAGGGAGAGAGAGAGAGAGAGAGAAGATGGTTTCTGCTCATAGATGGAAGGAAAGAAATGTGCCGCTGCTGGAAAGGGGATCGACTTCATTTCACAGGATTCTGCAAGCAGTAGCCACAGTAGCTAAGAGGCCTTTATGCAAGACCCCAATATGCAAATCCCAGGTTCATGTCTTTTTTTTTTTTTTAAATAACGCGTGTACATAATTTGCAGTGTTTAGAAGAAAAGATGGGTTCTAATGAAGAAGATCGGGTGTATATTTAGGACTGATCTAAACGGGGAAACCGGTGAGATTTGAGACTGCTTGTAACTTAACTGTGGAAGACTCTACTTTCCCTCAGTAAGGAAGGCGTGGGGGTCTTTTCTATACGCTGATCAACACTTGAAAAAAATAAAATAAAAAGCAAGAATGTATTTCCACCTCCAAATAAGCAGCACAGGTCCCAGCTGAGGGGTGGGGGTGCTGTGCATGTGTGCTTCCTGTCTGTGGGGTGGGGGTCTGTTTCTATAGTTCCTCAGGGAAGATTGCTCGTCCTTCCTTTTTGCAGCAACAGTTGTGTTCCTGCGGACACACAACTCACTCTCCTCTTCTCCCTTCAGGGGGACCTGGTGATGGTTGATGCTGTCATGTCTGCCCAAAAGTCACCAATTCCCTATCCAGAAAAGCAAGGAAGGCATATCAGGGACCCCTTCACTCCCCCTTCCTTGTGAGACAGTGAAAGCCGTGGGTGGTTGAGGTGTGGTTGGGGTGGGAGTGTGTCATAAAGCAGGTAGGACTTTCCAAGTCAACTCTTCTCCTGGGGAAAGTCACAAACTCTTGGGATTGAGTCCTTGGGATTCCTGACCTGGAGGAATTAGTTTGGTTAAGGGGATCCTCACTGTTGAACGCTGTCCTTATCTTAGTATCTTGTAGCATCTTCGTCATGCTCTTGAGATTTAGATCACCATTCGGACAGCCCGTGTCCCTTCAGCAATGGCTCAGAGATGCCGTGAAGCGCTACAAGTCCTGAGAGGGGGAATGGCCACCATTTAAACATGATGGGTGGAATAGCCTTCAGCCAAATGACGGGTTCTGCAGCTTGATTCCATTTGGCCAAGGAAGCCCTGTAAGATCTCCTTGCTTCCTCAATTGTCCAGCTTTCCCCCCCCCCCCCCCCCCCCAATGTTAGTATTCCTTCCACAGGGAAGATCCCATAAACCTTCAACGTTGCACCTGCAACAGAAGAACAAATAGATTGTCACATAATTAATGCTAAGGGGAATGGTGCCTCCCTACATAGTAGTTTGTACATTTCAGAACATGTCTGTTCCTTCCTCTTTTTTTAAAGAAGCATTAAGTAGCAGAGATTCGGCTTCTTGAAAATCCAGCAGTTTCTGGGGTCATGTTGATTGTTTTTATCATTATTATCATCATGTTCTGCTCTGCCTATTTCTTAAGTATGTTTGTTTTTGGAAGCTATTTCTGCCATGCAGACCAGACCCTGAAGTCAACATTTGATCTGTCAAAATTATGAAACTAGCAACACAAGAAATATGTTTTGGAACATGTTGTCCCCCGCATTGGGGAATGACTCGTTGTATTTCTCTAGCTGCTTTCTCTAAAATTGTGCCAAATTCAGCCAAGTGTCTTACTTGTACAAGGCACAGGTGTGGATGAAAGTGCTTCCATTGTGTCATGTATTGAGTTATGCAAACAACCAAGGAAAATACAGTTGACGTTCTCCTTCCACTGCTCCAGTATAAGTCCAACCCACATCCCTTTTTTCGTTTCTTGATCATATAATTTCTTAGTTTTTCCTGGGCAGAGTCCCAAAGGAAAAGCAAATGCATGGCAAGACACTGCCCTAATTTCATCTTTGCACGGGAGATTTCCCAAAGATTGCGCGTCTGGCATTATTTTCTTGCTGCTGCTTATCAAATCAACAGAATCACACCAAACCTGGCGAAGTTGCAGAAACATTACATTTTTATCAGTTTGGAGGGAAAATGAGTTGTTTCCTTGCAATTTCATTTGGGGCCGTCTTATGCGCGCAGAATTGGTCTCCGAGAATTGTGTGCCAGGGATCTGAGTTACCAAGGCGCGCAAGACTTAAAACACACACAACACACACACACACACACAAGTTTCACGCTATGTTGGTTTCATTGACTTGTTCATGTTGTCACATGGAAAATTTTCCAATAAATGCCATTGCTGCATTTGCTCATATTGTTTTCATTTTGCAGTCAGAATATTTTCATTCTGCAGTCAGAATAATATTTTGCGTATCCGCAGGGAGATCTTTTGGGGTCCCTCTCTTGTGAAGTTAGAGCTCTGGGCTACCCAGTTAAACAGACAAGCCACCAGATCCTTTTTAGCCCAAGAAACACTTCAGGACATGATCTGCTGATTGACGGGTGATGGCCTTAAAAATGGCGCTCCACACACATTGAAATAACAAGCCTTGACTGGCTGTGTGGAAGGGAAGGAGTTGGAAGGATGCTCTGAGAGATGGACCTGGGGTTCCAGTACAGGTAGTCCTGAACTAACAACCATTCATTTAATGACTGTTCGAAGTTACAACGGCCCTGGAAAAAATGACTTACTGTTTGACGGTTTTTTTACACTTACAAACGCTTCAGCATCTCCATAGTCATGCAATCAAAATCAGGATGCTTGTCAACTGGCATGTATTTATGATAGTTGCAGTGTCCTGGGGCAGGGCTTTTCAACCAGTGGTACGTGTACCACCAGTGGTACCTTGGCATGTGGCAGGTGGTACGCAACCCTGCCTAGCCTAGTCAAGAGTAAGGGAGGGAACAAGCTAAAGCAGCGCAATGCAACCACTTGCCGTGAAAGAGTCCTCCGGAGCTGCAGAGTGGCTCGGGCAGGGGTAGGCAACCTTGGCTCTTTTATGACTCGTGGACTTCAACTCCCAGAATTCCTGAGCCAGCCATGCTGAGGGGAAAGAGAGGTTTCCATGCTGAGCCATGCTGGCTCAGGAATTCTGGGAGTTGAAGTCCACGAGTCATAAAAGAGCCAAGGTTGCCTACCCCTGGGCTAGGGCAAGACAAAGGCCCCAGGATCAGCACTTCCTGCTCACCCGGAAGAGAAAGGAGGAGGGGGGCGGAGACAGGAGAGGTTATAAAAGAAGGCAGTTTTGGCCCGAGAGGGAAAGAAAAACAAGATTCCGGAGAAAGAGACAGAAGAGAAAAGGCTTTTGTCAGAGAAGCGGTGAGAAGAAATGGGGGGGATGCTTTCTGGGAGAAATGTGTGAGAGAGAATGAGGGGCTTTTGCAAGCGAAGGGTGAAAGAAAAAGGGGGGGCAGAAGGGAAAAAGAAAAGGCATTCATTGACTTCCGACTTTCTCTGTTGCAGCAGAAGGAAGCATTAACATTGAACCTCAACTTTTTACTTTTCCATAATATTATAAACTAGCCATTTCTATAACAACAAATGAATCTAACAGTAAAACCCAAATCCCCCCCCCCTTTTCTTTTAGTCATCAAGTTTTTGACACCTTGCTAAGCACCGGTGGTATTCGAATATTGTCATGTCCTAAAAGTGGTACAATCTCTGAAAAGGTTGAAAAGCCCTGTCCTAGGGTCACGTGATCCCGTTTGTGACCTTCTGACAAAAAAATGGGGAAGCCAGATTGCCTTAACAACCCTGTTACTAACTTAGCAAGTGTTAAGTGGTCCGCTTAACAGTGGCAAAAAAAGGTTGCAAAATGGGGGGGCCCAAACTGTCCTGCTTAGCAACAGAATTTTTTGGGCTCATTTGTGGCTGTAAGTCAAGGACTAGCTATAGTTTGGTTTGTCACACTTCCTTCCCTGCCAAAAATTACAGTACAAAAAAAAAAAATAGAACAACTTCTTGTGCCTGAACAGAAACCAAAACAGAAAACTGTGAGTCTGTCTTTGCTCAGTCTCTCAAATGGCAAGCTCTCTCTGGAACAGTGGTGTCAGACTCGCAACGTCACGTGATGTATCGTGACGTATCGCGACTTTTTTTTCCATTGCCGGCAATAGCGTGGGCACGGTTTCGGCACGACGCATCCGGCCCGCGGGCCGGCAGTTTGACACCCCTGCTCTGGAAGGTCTGCAGAAGCTCCTAAGGCATCCAGAAATGCGGGTCCCTGACAGGGTTGATGTCATGAGGCATGACGCGTCCACAACCTTTAAGAACATCACAGGTGATTTCCTGAACAAATGTTGAAGCGACAAACAAAAAAGACACCCATTCCTTCGGCTTTTGTAAATGAAGAAAAGGGCCCAAGGCAGTTTCATTCCCAAAGCATTACTTTCTAGGCACACCTTGAAGTCATTACAATTGGGCACTGTGGGACCTGCTGTTTTTTATTATGGGAAGAAATCCTGATCAAGCAAAACTCTGTTGCTTTTATAGACAGTTCTGATTCAGCAACTTTGGAGAATTGTTTGATCCCATGCTTTACGAGGAAAGGAAATGTCATTCCCAGATTCTGAAAATCTTACTTAACTGTTTTCTGCTCAGAAAAAAAATGAGGCAGGCCTGGGCTACGCCTTCGGTGTTCTGTTTGGGTTTAATGGTGTGGAATCTGAGGAACAGATTACAGTAACTACCAGTCCACATCTCTGAAACTAGAGAATAGATGCAAAAAAAGTGTTTACCTAATAATATGCGTTGTCTGTTTGGACAAAGCTTGATAGCTAAGGAGGCTGTCCTCCCTCTCTCAGGCCTGTTTGCCACAATTTGACCGCCAAATTGTACTAACTTGCCATGGGCCATTGACATCACCTGGAGATAAACATAAGTATCATTTTGCTTTTTGATAGTGATAGCTTTCATAGGAAATTCATCTGGAACATCTCAGTTTTGAACAACATTGGGGCAAAGGAAGTAATGTTGGTTTGTCGGTCCGTTCCTTGAGGTTGCTCCATGCCATTGAACATCCACTGGCTTCTTTGACTTTGTCCCCCATTTGTATGACTGATCTACGTGGATGCTCTTAGAGGCCAGAACTTCTCTGGAGTCATTTTTAATTTGCTGGTTGTAATAACCTGACCGGGAGGAAAGGCTGTTTTGAAGATTCTCCTCTTCTTGAAACAAAGGCCATCATTAAGCCTTACCTTACATTTCTTGTCCCAGGCCTGGCTGGATCTAGGTGGTTGATGGACGCAAGACCCCATCCATATAGAACAGTGGATGGTCTCCTGCCTCTCTTCATCATTGTAGCTTGGCCACCAGGGGGCCCTGCTGCTTGTGCAAGTCCCAGAGTACTCCCTGAGAGCCGACAAACCATGTTTGGCCTATGGCAGTGATGGCGAACCTTTTAGAGATCGAGTGCCCAAACTGCAACCCAAAACCCACTTATGTATCGTCGGGTGCCGGGTGGGCTTGGCCCACTGGATGGGTGTGACCAATTGGGTGG